CGCCGCCGCAACTATCGCACTTGCCAACAACAACAACAATGATCATCATGTATAGTTACTATATATCAAAGTCCCTATAGTCGTAGACACTTGAGTCATAATCGTAGTCACATGAACTATAACGATCTTTGCAGCAACGGAACCCTAGCCAGTGGCAGACCTTTATTCAGGGGTGTTCATGTGAACACCCAAAATTTTGAAAATTAAATGCAAAATACATGTATAGAATGATGTACTACATAATAATTTATATATTGTACTATTAGATAACATCTTAATGATAAAGTAATTTTGAACACCTAGCTTCCGTCACTCGAACCCTAATCCTAGCTAGAGTCATTGAAATCTATGTTGCACGGATACGAATACGCAGATACGCGAAAACGGGTACAATGATACGACAATTTAAAAAATTATAGGATACGAGCTGAGTACGGGGGCATATTTATATATAATAAAAATATAAGGTATAACTTGCAAATATATATAATTCAGAGGTTCATAAATAAAATAATAGTAGTAGAAAAATTATCTATTATAGTAAAATTTCAAAGCTCAGGTTAAAAAAACTAAAGTACAAATATTTTGATTTAAATTCAAATACAAAGTAATATTTTTTTGTTCTCTATTTGCATTTACATCTAAGTCTCGTTTCAATAATTAAAGCTCATCGAGCGATAAAATGACAAATTATAGTATTCCTATATTTTTCATACTCTCGAAATCATTTTTATCAATGTTCAACATCCTGTTGTCGCTTGGGCAGCTACTAAATTTTCGTCATGTCAGGTATGAAATGAAGGTTAAAGGGTCAGATACGCGTATCGGTTCAAGAATATGGGTATCAGAAGTATCAGTATTTTTAAAAATAAGCCCGATACTTTTATGAAATTACGGATACGAACCCAATACGTACATGACGCGTATTGGTGAGTATTTGTATTGGATACGTATCGGATATGCGGATACGGCATCAGTGTGAAGTATCGGTGCATCATAGATTGAAACTCTAGCCACAACGACTGTAACTTTTTTTTTAAATAAAATTAAGAAAAACTTATATGTATTTTTTTTTATCACAATTCACAACTAGCAGGACATGCCCGACATAGTAATTAAAAAAAGTACATCAACTTCAAAACCTAGCACAGGACATACCACAACGACGGTAACTTTAGTTGCACTAACTAGAACCAAAGATACAACACGATCGCCAATTCGCAAAAGACGTTTCACTCTAGCGTCTCATGTCCAATGACGTGTACCCAAAAACACAATTGACGGAATGTGTGCGTGGTAGTAAATAATAACATGGTCACTAACGGGTTTAAAGAGCCATGTAATCACTACGACATTTATCTTAGAGATTCACTGTCACTATTGGCATGACGACGACGACAATGATGGCAGCAGTGGCGGTGATGGTTGAGGCGGTCAATGGGAATGGTTGGGCATCATTGAATAATTATTATCATAATAAATGTAGTATTACAATAATAAATACGTACAATACGTACGTACTCTTTTCGTCCTATAAAACTTGGCCAATTTGATTTTTCTTGATCAACGATAACAAACTTTAGACAATGAATTTAACTATTATGTTTAATTGTAGCTTATAACCTTTATACTAAAAAAAGATTTTTTACGAAAATACATTTTCTTATAATTTCATACAAAAATAGCATTAGTCAAACTTGGTCATCATTGACCAAGAAAAATCAATATGACCAAGTTTTGTGAGATAGAGGGAGTATTAAATAAAGAGAATAAATAATATGATTGGCCATTTGAGGAAGCGGTTCAGCTCAGCTGGTCGCCGACACACTCTTCCTTATGGGAGGTCTCGGGTTCAAAACTCAATGGAGTGAGTTTCAGCCCAATTTACTCCAGCCCCCCCTCCCCAGGTAGGGGTGGGTTCGGTTCAAACAGTTCGGTTTTCACCTAAAACCAAATGTCGAACCGAAGTAAGAAGTTCGATTCGATCTGGTTCGGTTTTATGTGAATATATAGAGTGTATTCGCTATTTATTATTGTAAATTTGTAATACTACATTTATTATGATAAGAATTATTTAATGGCGCCCAACCACCCCCATTGACCCCCTCAACCATCACCGCCACTGCTGCCATCATTGTCGTTGTCGTGCCAATAGTGATAGTGACTCTCTAATATAATATAAATCTCATAGTGATTACATAGATCTTTAAGCCCGTTAGTGATCATGTTATTATTTACTCCCTCTATTTATTACTCCCGTTATTTATTACTCCCTCTATCTCACAAAACTTGGTCATATTGACTTTTCTTGGTCAATGATGACCATGTTTGACCATTGCTATTTTGGTATGAAATTAGAAGAAAAGGTCTTTTCTTAAAAATACATTTTTAAAAAGTATAAAGGTTTTAAGTTTCAGTTGAACATAATAGTTAAATTCATTGTCCAATAATGATAGTGAATCTCTAATATAAATGTGGTAGTGATTACATAGCTATTTAACCCGTTAGTGACCATGTTATTATTTACTACCACGTACACATTTCGCCGATTGTGTTTTTGAGTACAAGTCATTGGGCATGAGACGCTACGCTGAAATATGTATGGCGAATTGGCGATCACGTTGTATCTTTGGTTCTAGTTAGTGCAACTAAAGTTACAGTCACTGTGGCTAGAGTTTCAGGGACTCTAGGTAGGATTAGGGTTCGAGTGACGGCAGCTAGTGACAGTGGCGGATCTTGCAACTAAATGTTTGGTGTTCAAAATTATTTTACCATTAAGATGTTACTTAATAGTACAATATATAAATTATTACATCAATTCTATACATACATTTTTACACTTAATTTTCAAATTTGAGTGTTCACATGAACACCCTTGAATAAAGAAGGTCCACCACGGGCTAGGGTTCTGTTAGGGGTGGGCACAGTCCGGGACGGTCCGAGAGTTGGCTTATCCTAATCCCGTCCCGGTTTTATAACAACGGTTTGGTACGGTATAAGTCTTTATCTAAATGTTGTCCCATTTAATTAAAACGGGACCGGGACAACCCGAGAAAAACCGGGACGGTTCGGGATGTCCCATAAAATATGCATTTGTGAAATGTGATATAAAAATAAGCATAACATCAAAATAAAGACGTAACTATTTTTGCAAATTTGGCTTCCCTAAAAAGTTAACTAAAACCTTTAATTAACTATTTTTAATTTTTGTCTTGTAAATTTTTTGGTCCCCCTAATCTTGTGTTTTCTTTAGTAGAATAGTAGTGCAAAATATTTTTATACTTTGTAGTACACTTGTAATTTTTCAATACGACATTAAATTAAATAACATATCTATAAAGACTATATATATATATATATATATATATATATATATATATATTCTAGTAGTTATTTTGGAAAATATTAAATCTATAACAACACTATAATTTGGAGTAGTAGTTATTCCATCATAAATAATATATTATGGTTTAATATTGGAATGAGAACTTTATAAATTTTAATCAAAAGAAACAAAAGAAATGAGACTAAGAGAGACATGAAATAAGATAAAATTACACTAGGGAGACTAAGGACTAGAAAATTTTAATTGGGTTTGACTATTACATAACATTCGAAATTTCAAATAACATATTAATTTCAAACGGGATACCGGGATGCGACATGATATTTTATAGCTATCCCGGTCCCGTCCCGGTTAATATCGGTGCGGGACCGGTTCGGGATGAAAAATTTGTGTCCTAAATGGATCGGGATAGTTTCGGAACGGTATCGGGATTTTTCGGTTTGGGACATCGGGACCGGGATTTTTGCCCACCCCTAGGTTCTGTTGTTGTGAAGATCGCTATAGTTCATCTGACTACGGTTATTACTCAAGTGTCAGCGACTAAGGGGACTTTGATAGTAACTGTACACGTTGATCATTACTTTCATCGCCGTCAACAAGTGTGATAATGACGGCGGGGACATTTAATGGGTGGGGTAGTAGGGCAGTGTTGGGTGGACAGGTGGGAGACGCGGGGTGAAATTAATTACCTTTTATTATTAGGTTTAAATATGATTTTAGTCCGTGCAAATATGTCATACTTTGTTTTAGGTCCCTAGAAAATATGTTCTTTCTTTTTCATCCCTGTAATATGCGCTATTTTGGTTCTAGTCCATCTTTAACTCCGAAGCAACCCTACTTGAAATTCCTTTTATTGTCAGTTGCATAAATCTACTAGGAACATTTATATTTATCACTTTATAATTTTTTTAGGCTAATATGACAGTTCATTCAATACTAAAACTAATTATTCGAATTTTTAAAATATGTACTAAAAACCTTTTAAAAGTAAAATTAAATATTTTTTGAATGACATGACAAAGAAGTAAAGGATACATATTAGTTGGAATTGTTTGCTTGTCAAATGGAGGTTGTTATCATTAGTCGTGGACTAAAAGGAAAACAAATATAAATTCCAGTGATGAAAAACAAATAAAATATTCTGCAGAGACTTGAAACAAAGTGTGCTATATTTGCAGAGACTATTATTATCCTGCACTGAATTGAATAATAATCAAAATAAGTAACACTATTATTATCTTGCAGAGACTTAAACCTCATTATTAACATTATTATTATCTTGACTTGAATTGAATAATAATCAAAATAAGTAAGACATTAATTATTTTTCTATGTGAATTTAATGTAGATGATCATTTCAACTTTTTTTTATCTAATTTTTTCTTCATTTTATTAATAAAAAAAAATCTTTCAATAAATATCCAGATTCAACTAATTCAATAAAACTTTCATAAATATGAACAATTTGAACCTAATTCAAACTATTTTAGGATAAGTCTCAGGTGGTAAGTGCCAAAGTCAACGTGACCACTTCCAAAAATGACGTAAAACCTGCCGTTACTAATCGGTCTCTCCCTCTCTATTATTATGAACTCTGCACTCCTCTATATATATAGCCCTCCACCGCCAACACCTTCGTCTACTAAAACAGAAACCTCACTCCATTTTTCATTTTCTTCACTCCATTTTCTTCGTCCACAAAAGCTTCAGGAATTGAAATGGCAAATGATCAAGACCCTTTCACTGGTGCTTCTTCATCCTCACAGAAGCTGCCTGACGACATGTACCTGGTGGGCTTCGTGACGGCCAACATTTTGTGCCTCAGACGCTATGCCGGCGGTGTCATCAGCGGAGAAATGGTGAACCTTGTCCGTCAACCCGTCAACGCTATCCAAGTGTTCAACCTTCTCAACGAAGAGGTCGGCCACATCGAGTCCTCCGCTGCCCGAGTCTTATGTCCTCTCATGGACTGTGGGATAATCATGATCCAAGGTATATCTATGAATCTATGATGATGATTGGTGTCAAGCAATTTTGCCTTGTACAAAATATAAACTCTTTGATGTTTGTAAGGATCATAGTCTGTGTTTTGTTTTGGTTAAGCTCTGCATTTACTTGTGTTGGTGTGATGAACTAGGTGTTATTCCAAAGATGTATTGGGAAGGATACACCTATGAGGTCCCATGCCAAATTCACATCTTTACCACCATATCTGCATCCATAACTGTCAAATCCATGATTCAAACTGCTGGGTTGCACTTCATTTCTGCAAATGACCCTTCTATGGCTTTATCAGAGTTACCCATTGTGAAAGAACATGTGGATGCAGCGGTGAGGAGAAGCGTGGATGAGATTTTTAAGGTTCTCAGTGAGAAGAAAGCTTTGGGGACATTAGACCCTCCAAATGCCATCATAAAGTCTGAACTTCTTCCACATCAGAAGGAAGGATTATGGTGGCTAGTCCAGCAGGAGAAAGCCAAATATTTGCCTCCTTGCTGGGAGGAAATAGATGGGCATTTTGTCAACACATTGGCGAATTACAGTACAGAGAGGTGTCCTGATCCTATCCGGGGTGGGATCTTCGCAGACGAAATGGGTTTGGGTAAAACTCTCACTATTCTTTCACTGATTGCTTTGGATAAACTTGAAAATTTGGAGCAAATGGAAGGTATACCCATTTTTTCTATTGGTGAAAGCTCTGAGAGTGGGAGAGCTAGCCATGAGACCATGCAAGAAATGTGTTTTAACATGGTCTGTTCTTCACATACGAGAACGACTTTGGTTGTGTGTCCGCCAGCTGTGTTGTCAGTGTGGATGACACAGTTAGAAGAACACACTACAGTTGGTTCTTTGAAGGTGTACATGTATTATGGCAGTAAGAGGACTAAAGATGCCAACGCCCTTCAACAATATGATTTGGTTTTGACAACTTATAACATTGTGGCTAAAGAATATGAGTTGTTGGACTCACCAATGAAAATGATAGAGTGGTGGAGAGTTGTTCTCGACGAGGCACACGTGATTAAGAATTCAGATTCTAAGCAGAGCCAGGCCGTTAACAACTTAAAAGCCAAACGGAGGTGGGTTGTGACTGGGACTCCAGTTCAGAATAGCCCACTTGATTTGTATGCTTTTATGGCGTTTCTTAAGGTTGAGCCTTTTTCTATCAAGAACTTCTGGAATACTTTGATACAACGCCCCCTTTTACGTGGAGATCAGATGGGATTTTTACGGCTTCAGGTAAAATCAGTTCTCTATCTTCTAACATGAGCAAGTAGTTCAGCTATATGAGTTTGAAAGTTGTTTACAACTGCATTGCATTTTCCATTTCTTTTTTCAACTGGTAGTTAGGACTATTATCAGATGTAATCGCCTAATCATCATTTCTTTCATTTGGACCAAGATCAGCATTATCTTCACTTTTCTCCAAGTCTACAAAGATATACGGAGGCCTTGAGGGAGAACTTGCAGCTTTTACGAAATAGTAAAACCTTAAAAGAGTATTTTATTTCATTGAGGTTCCAAAGGTTTTTTTGACCTGAAAGTTTCCAAATTTTTTATTATCAATCTTTCACAACTAACCAGGAGCATGTTACTCATCCGGTGTGTTGGCTTATTCATAGAGGTTCTGTCCAGTAACTCGGTTTTCTCGAATCGAAATAATAAAAATAATAACAACCGCTCGTTTTTTTTTTCTGCACTCTTTTCCATGTCTTACATTACAGCATGTTTTCTCTTCCACTGCTATTGCTATATCACAATTATGCCTGTCTAGAAGAAAGTTTGTGCTTTGGGTTTTCCATTATATTACAATTTATAACCGCTTGTGACTTTGTTTTTGCCATATCAGGCTCTAATGGACACAATGTCATTGAGAAGAACAAAAGATAAAACACAGGTTGGATTGCCAACAAAAATTATATGGACATATTAGTGGATCTCTCTGATGCAGAAAGGGAAATTTATGATCAGATGGAATTTAAAGCAAAGCAAATCATTCAGAACTATATTCATGAGGAAAGTTCAATGAAGAATTATTGGACTGTACTGAGCGCACTTGTGCGCCTTCGACAAATATGTGCAGATGTGTCCCTGGTTCCCGCGGAGCTTCGAGATTTACTTCCATCATCTCAAATTGGAGGTAAGCTGAGCTTGGTTCCCCCCTTCCCTCCATGCAGTCTCCTCTATGTTGGCTTTATACATTTCCCCACTTGCTGATTTGAGTGTTTTTTCATTTATTACTTCTACTTCATTTATATTGTGAAATATACCATTTGTCACCTTATGTTTCCATAGATGGTATAATGCTTCTCCATTTACTATGAGTAGGTGTTTGAGGTTTCAGGACTAAACTACTCAACACTAGTTCTATATATTTGTTTCCTAAAAAACATAATCACGTTAATCTTCAAGTTGCATTAAAAGTAGATCGCTTACGCCCGAAACACTTAATTCCAACTGATATCATTATATTCTATCATAATATTGTGCCAAAGGTGTTTTCTTAAAAAAAAAAAGTCACTGCTCAAAAGGTTTATTTAATTTGCTGACTTGAAAATAATTTAGGGGTTTTTTATAACAAAAAACAAAAAACATAATAATTTGCTGACTTGAGAAAAAGTTTAGGGGTTATTTGATAGTTTGACTCAACTTAAACCTCCTTTAAGGCCTTAAAAAGAACATTGATGAGGATAAATGGAAAGCATGGTCAATTAGAATTATGAAGGGATGAATATCAATATAAAAAAAATCATATTTCAAAAATGAAGGATCTGAAACAAAAAAAAAACTGCTACATATATGAAGGAAAACATATTTCAGCCTCTTACGTTTTTGTTAAATAATAATTCTGATATGCTCATTGGCTGAAACAGATGTACAGAACAACCCACAACTGCTCCCTAAGGTGGTGATGGCACTACAAGATGATGATGACATTAACTGCCCAATTTGCATATCACACCCAAAAGACACAGTCATTACATGCTGTGCTCATATCTTTTGCAAGATGTGCATCCTCACGACACTCCAGGAAAACAATCGAAGCTGCCCAATTTGTCGCCATCCGCTCACGGAGTCCGACCTCTTCTTCGCACCATCACAGGCTGCTCCCGCATCAGACCGTGAAGGAAACGGCCCATCCACAAAAGCCACTGCCCTTCTAAATCTTCTCCTCACAGAACGGGAGCTGGACCCGACAGCAAAATCAATAGTGTTCTCGCAGTTTAGCAGGATGTTGCATTTACTTGAAGAGCCACTGAAAGCTGCAGGTTTGAAGATACAGCGGTTGGACGGGTCGATGAACGCAAACAAACGGGCCCAAGTGATAAGGGAATTCAGTATCCCGGCACCCGAAGGAGCCACGGTTCTACTCGCAAGCCTTAAGTCATCGGGAGTTGGAGTAAACCTCACAATGGCTTCAAGTGTTTACTTGTTTGATCCGTGGTGGAACCCAGCGGTCGAGGAGCAGGCCATGGACCGTGTGCATAGGATTGGCCAAAGGAAGGAGGTGAGAATTGTGAGGATGATTGCACTTGACACCATTGAGGAAAGGATATTGCGACTGCAAGAAAAGAAGAAAAGTTTGACTCGGGAAGTTTTCATGAAGAAGCAAAGCTCCCGAGATCAAAGAGATATAAGCACAGATGACCTCATTAGCTTGATGCAGTTATGATTCAAACTGTTGAATCAAAAGAAGTTTGACGAATGAATTGAAGCATCACATTGGACAAGTCGCATACATGGTAAAACCTCTTCTTAGCTTCTTCCTCACTGCCAACAACTTTGGCTAGGATTATGATTGATGGTTTTCAACGCCTATATTGTCTGTAAAAATGTCTCAATGAGTTTTTTTGAAGAAATGAAACTCAGCTGTAAACTAATGTAGCAGTTTTGTAGAGTTAGAAGTATTAACTTCAAATTTGGTAATTGATCATAATGATTTTTTCTTGTGAGTAACAGTTAAATTCTAGCGATCTCTGATTTGATTATTTGAAAAACATCCATTTGTGGAACATATCTTTGTAACAACCCATAAGAGTCCAATTATCCAAATATAATATATATATGAACATTTAGGTACTAATTTTGATGAATAACCGATCTCAAAATTTTAAGCTTTAATCTGGAGAATATATGTAATGAATTCCCACCCCCTCAATGTTTAGGGAACTTTACTTTTACATGATTTGTAGTCAATGTGCTCTTTTAATTTTAACCTGTGTTTAGTTTTCTTATGCAAGCCATTGTTACGTGTCTAGCTTCCTTGATTTATTCTTAACTTTTCTTCGATATTTGATCCACCTGGCAAAACTTCCTTTTTGAAGATGGATTACATGATTATGAATGGAGAAAACAAGGAAATGAATATCTTAGATAATCACTTCATTAAAGAGATTAACTAATGAAGGTATTAAAAATAAAAGTAGTAATAAAATCAATCAATCAAGCAAATCAATTATCCATCACTCCTCAGTTTGATTGTTCTTTTTATCATTCCATAATATTATATTGTAGATTTGTAGCATGCATGCGATAGCGATTCCATATATATGTTGCTGCCTGAAACTGATCAGAAAAGATATGTTGCTGATAGAACCTTGAGGATATGTAATGTTCTGTAAGAAGTTGAGAGAAAATATTGGGTGAGAAAGATGTCAAAGTTTATATTTGATGAGGTGCAATCCTGGAGGTTATAACTAAGAACTTGTGTCTTAAATAAGTATTCATATGTGAAACACTATAAATCCTAGATTTTATAAACGATGCACATAATATTTCTTGCAAAACGAGTGAAGATCTTATGAATCAAAACAAACATATTGATGTTGCAGTTTTAAAAGTTCAAACATTTTGATCAAGTTCATGAAAGATATCAGAATTGATGAAAGTGATGCATCTTCTAAGTTCTAAGGATGGTAACATTGTTGAACTTCTGAGTATGGTCAATCGTAAATTTGTAATGATGACCATCTGTTAACCTTTCATACTAAAAAAGAGACATTATTCGTGCTGCCGCAACTAGACCTTCAAAAAAAGATAAATTTGTTTAAATTTATTAATATGTTTTCATAACAAAAAAGTTTATAAATATTTACATGTTATACCTGAGGCATACTCTTTATATTGCCCCGGGCTAAAAAATATCAGTGTGGGCTTATCTTTTGGAACAAGGATTTTATTTCTGTGGCTCTGTATATATGTTGAACTTCTAACATGATAATATTGCCGCAAATGAGACCATCGAAGAAAATAGAATTAATTCCACTTTTGGTCCTACGAGTTTTGTGTCAATTCCACCTTTAGTCCACGTCTTTCACTTTATCCACTTTTGGTACTTGACTAATGTTTTTTAACCGTTTGTGGTCCTTTTCCGGCGATTTTAACCATCGGAAACAATGCCGGAAGGACCATATATGAGCGAAAACACAATAGTCATATACCAAAAGTGGACAAAGTGAAAGATGTAGACTAAATGTGGAAATCACCTAAAGCTCATAGGACCAAAAGTGGAATTTATTCAAGAAAATATAAATGACCTTGGCGATAGATAATTTTATAATATTGTTTATCAATCTTTGGATCGATGCATCAATCAAGGGTTTATGTTATTGATCAATGAAGAAATGACCTTTGCTTTATGTTATGTTAACGGAAATGGAAGAGAGTGCTTTATGCAATTTCTCTTATACGTGTTTGGATGTGCTTAGAATGATATGAGCCCATAACCGAAATAAAAACATTTAAAGGGTTATGGATGAACAAACTTGTGATAGATGATTATCGTTGAAGGTTTGTAGATAAACTTGGTTGTAATCTGTATGAGGAGGTTGGTTAGCGATGGTTGAAGTTTGATTGACGAATTTGGTAGTGTGAGAGAAAGAGCCTAATTTTTTTAAGAGCCAAAAATTATGTGCCAAGAATGATTATGGCTTATAACGATAATGATGATAAGGAAATCAATCTTTAATGCTCTAGAATTAACACGCCGTGCGTGTACTTAGAGGATCCGAGTTCGAACTCGATCTTTACTTTTAATACTCGTCAATAGACATGTGCATTGCACGACAGGATGCGGTTAAAAGTAATTTATTCGATATTTAATAACATTTTCAGTATAATATTAAATTGAAAATAAAAAAATGTGAAAGAAACAAACAAGGAAAATTGAAAATAATAATCTCAATTGTTTGTCCGCTATTAATAATCTCAACTATTCTTAGGTGGTACCAACTATAGGGACCATTTTCATAAATTGTCCCTAACCGTTATAGCAGTTTAATTTTAAATGCGAACTATGTGTAATCTGTAAATAATCTCAATTATAGCCGATCTTTTTTTGTTAATCCGAATTATCAACTCTCAATTTTTGGACGATATAGAAACATTATTTTTATAAATTTCCAAACTAAATATTTTTTAAATATGTAAAAATAATTACGAAAGTTCTACAAATGAACCTAAGATAAATAAAATATTTTTTTCATTTCTTCATTTATTTTCTCTAAAATTTTATTTTTACCTTTTTCCAATTTGTGTTTCCCAGTTGTGTTACCAAGGGGTGGGCAAAAATGCCGAACCGGCATGGTACCGAACCGAACCGGTATGGTACCGGACCGAAAAACGGGATTTAAAACGAATCTCAAATTTTTTGTCCCGAACCGGACCGTACCGGTTCTAAACAATGCCATGACCGGTTCTCATAAAATGAGAACGGGTACCGGACCGAACCGGACCGAAGTATGGTTTAATTATTTAAATTTATATTTATACCATTAATTTGACTAGTGCCTTCACACACTTTCACCGCCTTTGCTAGTTCATAGGAAGCTTGGAATCAGACCAATGTATTGTTTAATTATTTCAATTTGTACTACTATGATTTATCTGAAATTAATTAATTATGTAATACTACCTCTATCCTAAATTGATTTGCAAAATTAACTTTTTTTGGTCAAACAGTTTCATTTTATTCACTTAATTAGAATGTCAATTTTTAAGTATATTTAATTTGGAGCTTGCAACTTTGAAGAGATTTTAATGTAGTTTCTGAATATGTAAATTTTAATTGTTAAAAATTGAATTAAGTATCAATAAAGAGAATTTAACTCTAACATTGGTTGACCAAAAAACAATGAATTTGCATGTCAATTTGGGATGGAGGGAGTATGAAAATTGATAAATTGTATGGATTTTTGGAGGATGACTATGCTTTAATTTCCTCTTAAACAATTGAAAAAATGGCATTGTTTAGTATTGGTATGGCATGATACCATCCCATTTGAAAATGGAGCCGTACCGAACGGGTTTAGGTCTAGTACCGAACCAAACCGGACCATTTGAATAGTCACGGTACGGGTACGGGTTCGGCCAAATATTGGACCGGACCGTACCCACCCCTACTGTTACCGATTTATGATTTTGTATTATTTTCCTTTAGTCAAAGTTACATTCTCTATTTTCAAAAACTAAACATTGGTTGAAAATTTTATGCTTTATAGCTTTATTCTAGATTTTTCTATATTTTCCATTTTGGTATTTTTAATTTCTTTCTTTTTCTTTATTTTACATTATTATATTCTATAAATTTTATGATATATTTTATCATTTATTTTAATGATTTGGAGTACAAGTTTAGGCTAATTTTAATGAATAGGTACTAATATTATAATTTTAAATGGTATAATAAAAATTGCAAAAAACTGTTCAGAAAGTTTGAACTTTAATTTTGGTAAACATTTTGGTAAACTTTCAATTGTCATGTCAAGCTATTTTGGTAAATTATACGGAGTAATAGCCAAAACTTCCCAAACATATACCCCAAATGACTAAAACTATATGATAAACTATATCATATAACTTATATAATATAATAATATAAAATAAAGAATATAGAAAGAAATTTAAAATACTAAAATGGAAAAAATAGAAAACTTGTGTTTGAAGAATTAAGATAGCAAAATAAATAAAATAAAATATATTTCATTAAAAAAGCTAGAATAAATCTCTAAATCGTAAATATTTTAAATACAATTTACCTTTTGAAAATAGGGAATGTAAGTTTGAATAAAGGAAAATAATGAAAAATCATAAAGGAATGTATATTTTCAAACTCCCTAACATACCCGAAGATGGAGAGATCAGATATGTCTGATCGTCCCTCTGTGTAGCCGTGTAGGGCCGTAGGCAGCGTCCCACTGCCTAGGTTGATAGAACTGGGACGGGTTTTCCATCACTTTGCTTGGGTCGTATTCTTATTGGGGTGCGCCAAGTGTAAAGCTAGCCCGAATTCAAATAGGTTCAAGGGTTTAGAACTATGTGTTTAGAACTATCTTTGGGAAACATTCTTCTTGAGGTGCTTTTATTACAACATGACTTTCTAATTGGAGATAGTATAAGGGGATAGCCCGTTTCATGTTGCGCTTCGTGTTGTGCATGTTTTCTCTCTCTAGGGTTCGCCACGAGGTGCTACCGCTAGAGCCGTTTGTCCGCTATCGGTTTGCGTCGAGGAGCGGGACCAATTTCGGCCATTCTTTTTATGATAATCCAAATCTATCGTACATCAAGGGGATGCAGCAAGCAAGAGGCTCAGGTATTGGTAATCTAGCCACAGATCAGGAGACAGGAGTTGACAGATTTGATTCTGGCCCTCGACACGGGTGATGAATATACGAGGAGCGATGAAGGGCTGAGCAAGGGAGATAACAAATCAGCGGTCTGTCCCCCTCCTGAACTGCCTCCTTGGATTCGAGATGTCGGGGTTTGGAAGATGATATTTCAAGAAAACAGTCAGAAAAAAGTTTGAATATTTGTCGGTTATTCTATTTTTTAAGGTTTTTATTTTCATGTTATGTTTGTTTACGGCGTTTCATTTTTTGTTGAGGACTTTAGTTTTAGGTTTACAATAGTGATTGTCAATTCTGCTGGATATTATGTCATTAGAATGATCTATATGACCAGTGATTGCTATGTCACACCCGCTTGGTGGTAGCGATTCGTATTCCTAATGGTTTTAATATAAGTGTTGGATTTGATGATATAAAAAACGGAATATAAGGATATACTTCAAAGCCGTGTTAGAAAATCAAATAGTGTA